TATTTGACAGAGAGAGATCACAAGTAGACAGAGAGGCAGGCAGAGAGAGAGAGAGAGGAGGAGGAGGAAGCAGGCTGTCTGCCAAGCAGAGAGCCCGATGCGGGACTCGATCCCAGGACCCTGAGACCATGACCTGAGCCGAAGGCAGAGACCCAAACCACTGAGCCACTCAGGCGCCCACACCACCTATTTCTATCCAGTTACACCCAAAGCCTCTCATTGGTGCAGCTTAAGAAAACCCCAATGGTTTTATTGTGGTAAAAATATATGTATATATAGCACAAGATTTGCCAATTTAGCCCTTTGCATTAGCTGAGTGTATGATGCTTGGCAACCATCACTATTCGCTCTTTCCCCAATTTGCCATCACTTCAAACCATAACTCTGCACCCATCAAGCAATAATTCCCCACTCCCTCCTCCCCACAGCCCCTGGCAACCTCGAAGCTATTTCTTTATCTCTGTGAATTTGTCTCTTCTAGATATTTCGTGGAAGTGGAGTCCTGTGATAGTTGGTCTCTTGTGTCTGGCTTCTTGCACTTAGCATAACGTTTTCCAGGTTCATCCATGCGGCAGCGTGTATCAGTCCTTTGTTGCTTCCTATGGATTGGTCATATTCCGTTGTATTTTGTTAACCCATTCATCCGTTGATAGGGGTCTGATTTCTGTCCACCTTTTGGCTACTAGGCATAAAGCTGTTACAGATATTGACTTGCAAGTCCCTGCTTCAGCCCTGTTTTCAGTTCTTCGGGGGTAGATTCCCAGAAGCAGATGGCTGGGTCATATGGTAACTCTGTGTTTAACTTCTTGGGGACCAAAGTTTTTTCCACAGCTGCTGCACTATTTTACGTCTTCACCAGCAACATTTGAGGGCTCTGATTTCTCCACATCCACACCAACACTAGTTTCCTCTTTTTATTCTCATTATTATTTCTTTTTAAATATTTTATTTATTTATTTGAGAGAGAGAGAGAGAGAACCCACAAGCGGGGGATGGGGAGGGGCAGACAGAGAAGGAGAGGCAGACTCCCTGATGAGCAGAGAGCCCTACGGGGGGCTCCATCCTGCCACCCTGAGATCATGACCTGAGCCAAAGGCAGATGCTTAACCCCCAGAGCCACCCAGACATCCCGGCTCTGAAATCTTAAATGCCAGGTGCTGGGCTAGGAGCCCTAGGTATGTTGTCCCATGTAAGGCTCCCAGCAACCCTCTGAGGTTCTCGAAGGTTCCACCGTTATCCCGAATGTACAGGCCAAGACAACTGCAGAAGGGGAGCAGCTGGGAGCTGACGTGGTAGCCTGCGGCCGCTGTCCCAGGCTGACCTGTCTACAAGCATAAAAACCACGATTACCCTCAGCGGCTCCCCCTTCCCAGGGCAGAAGTTTTCCCCAGGCTTTGCGTGCACTGAATCTTGTAAATGGATTCGTTGCGGTGTTGGCCCTCCGCTTGCTCCTCCTGCCCTCACTTTGTGAAGTTGGCCCCCCCAGCAGGAGCGGTCCTGCTGCATCAGAGAGCTGAGCCCTCGGGGTTACCGCTTGGGGCCCCGCACGCAGCGGGGACTCTCTGAACACCGTGGGTTCACGTCCCGCTGACGCAAAGCACACTTCCGGGGGCAACACTGCGCAGAGCTTTCTCCGAGGCACTGTTTGCCAGATATCAAGGGTCTGAAACCTGGATCTCCTTTGAAGAGTCAGGCTTAGAAAGAAACGCAGCCAGTAGCTTTTATCAGACTGGCTAGCGGAGGCACGGGGAACCGTGGGTTGCTAGAGGTTCTGCCGGCCTGTGAGAAGAGAACTTGCAAAGAAATGTATGCCTCTTTTCAAATTCTCTTGCCTTGGGATCAGGTCATGATCCTGGGGTCCTGGGATAGAGCCCTGCGTGGGGCTCCCTGCTCGGAAGGGAGCCTGCTTCTCCCTCTCCCTCTGCCTGCTGCTCCCGGTGCTTGTGCGCGCGCTCTCTCTCTCTCTCTCTCTCTCTCTGCCAATAAATAAATAAATAAATAAATAAATAAATAAAATCTTTTAAAAAATTTAAAAAAGAAATGTATGGATCCAGCCTGCAGAAACAATACTTCCCCCGAGGCAAAGAAAGAAGAGCGGCATGAATGCTTGACTGATGGCACGTGTGCTAAGCAGTGGGGTGTCCCATCATATATATGAGCGAATATCTATTTATGAACAATTATAATATGTCGGGGGGCAGAACCAAGAGCATGTGCTAAGTACACCAAACTATAAAATCTGGGTTATCATTTTATGGATCAGAATGAGGCCAATTTTCTTAAAAATGGGGTATCAATGAAAAGATTATACATAATCTTTTGGGGTTTGGGTTTGGGAAAAGCTGAGATTTAGGATTTGTTTTTTTAAGACTTTATTTATTTATTTCACAGAGAGAGAGCAGAGTGGGGCAGGGGAAAGGCAGAGGGAGAGGGAGAAGCAGGCTTTCCGCTGAACAGGGAGCCCCATGCAGGACTCGATCTCAGGACCCCAGGATCACGACCTGAGCCAAAAGCAGATGCTTAACCAACTGAGCCACCCAGGTGCTCCCAGATTCAGCTGTTCTAACAGAGATCCAAGTCAGAAGTTTATTTTGCTCTCCCTATTTCTTTCCAGGCTGGTAAAATAGCTCTGCTCTATGAAATCAGTCAGGGATCTTGGTTCCTTCAGGGTGTTAGTCTTGTCTAGGTTGTTGGACCAGCTTGTCACCACTACCACACTCCACGTGACCAGGCCTGGCTGCAAGGGAGTGTGGGAAATGTAGGTTTTCTTTCTGGGGGTGTCTTACACCTACTAAGAGTCTATCACTATTGTGTTCATCGCTACTTCTGTGTAACAAACAACACCCACCCACCCTGGCTGGCTCAGTTGGTAGAACATGCGACCAATCTCAGGGTTGTGAGTTCAAGCCCCATGTTGGGCATGGAGCCTACTTAAAAAACGAAACCAAACCAAAAGAACTACCAATAAAAAACATTGTCTTCCTTAAGTTTCAAAGTTCTATTTCCAAATATTATTCTATTTATAAATCTGGTCAATTTTACCACTTTTGGGGGGAGGTCTTTGATAAATGGTCAACCCATCCCAGTTTCAACAGCTTCATATCCCATTTAGAATCTTTATTAATTAATTTCCCTTTAATGTTCTGCTTTCACATTTTAAACTGTTCGATTTTCTTTGGAAGCTCAACAGAAGTGCCTAAGAAGTGAAACCTTCCCAGGTATTTCACTCTTGTAATACATTATAAGAGTATCAAGATCTTTTAAACATCCCAGGACTCACCTAGAAAAATTCTCTTGCACGTTCCAGTGAAAAATTACAAGTCTAAAATAATGGATTACTCAATTATGCACTTTACGTTGGAAGACTTACATCTACAGGATAAATCTGTCATATTTTTGCTGATGCCAAATTCTCTTAAGCAATTACAAATACTTAAATACCAAATATCCCAGATGATTCTCCCCCACCCCGCCAAATATCCCAGATGACTCTTAAACATAACACAGGAGGGCTCAGTTGGTTAAGCGTCTGCCTTTGGCTCAGATCCTGATCCCAGGGTCCCAAGCCCTGTATTGGGCTCCCTGCTCAGCGGGAAACCTGCTTCTCACTCTTCCTCTCTCTCTCTCTGTCTCAAATAAACAAAATTAAAAAAATTTTTTTTAATATTTTATCTATTTATTTGACAGACAGAGACCACAAGTAGACAAAGAAGCAGGCAGAGAGAGAGGGGGAAGCAGGCTCCTCGCTGAGCAGAGAGCCTGATTCAGTGTTGGATCCCTCCTGGGATCATGACCCAAGCCGAAGGCAGTGGCTTAACCCACTGAACCACCCAGGCGCCCCCAAAATAAAATCTTTAAAAAAATATAACACAGGAGTACTAATTCTGTTGGTTCAATTGACTTTCTTCTTTTATATATTTTTTTAACTGGCCTCCATACCCAGCTAGGGCTTGAACTCACAACCTTTGAGGTCAAGAGTCATTCACTCTACTGACTGAGCCAGTGAGGTGTCTTTCTTTTTTTTTTTTTAATTATAAGCCTTGCTTACAGCTGGGCATTAAAACACACTTGTAAGTAAGGAAAATTTTACTGGCAAGGTGAGGTTAATTCTTGGCCAGAGGTTTGGAACTGGAACAGAGCTAAGTTTCTAGTTAAGGGGGGGGGGGAGAAAAAATTAACAAAAATTCCCCAGAAGAACACTCCAGAATGCTGGACCCTTTTTAAATAGTTACAATAACAAAGGGGCTCATGGGCCGTGAAGATTTGGTCCTTGGGCCCCCATCCCAGGTCAGGCTGTACCATGACCTCATATGTGTGCAATTTCACACTCAGTGAAATCAGAGGAAATCTGCGCCCGCTACCAGCTTGCTCACAGCTGGATTGGCGTCAGCTGGTCTGTCTACTGCCCAACTCCGGGTGGCATTCTTTCCCCCTCCACAAGCCTTGAGTCCTGCTGTCTGGCCCGGCCGCAACCCCTGGAGGCTAGTTCAGTGACCGCCAGTGTGTTGAAGGCATCACTCATCAGCCCTTTGCCTGGCTCTGCCCCCGCCAGGGAGCAGAAGGCTAAAGGGAGGGTCGTGACCCCAGAAACGAACAGGGAGGTCCGGAAGGGTCCCCTGGGGACTGGAGATCAGGGATCTGGAGATTGGGATGAATCAGCTCTCACAACGGAGTCCATGGAATGTGGGGAGGGTGCAACCAGCCTTGGTGTGTGTTTGTGTGTGTATTGAGTGGGGGTTGGGGAGCTGGGAGGGTGTGGAGCTGCTGGGTTCAACTTCTCAAAAAACTCCAGAGGCCCTGTCTCCAGGAGGAGGGGAAGCAAGGGGCCCAGATGGTGGGAGATCAGATAACAGACTGGGGTGGGGGAGGGTGCTGGAGGAGGACAGTGGAAGGAGGCTGGCCATGTGACTTCAGAGCCCAGCCCTGCCCCTTCCACCCTCACCGAGAGGGGACTGAGGAGGAAGTGAATAGCACAGCGATGAGCACCTGCTGTATGCAGCCCCTACTAGGGGCGGAGGTGCTTTGCCTGGGTCCTGCGGGGAGCAGCTGGCTGGATAAGTCCTAATCAAGGCAAGAGGTGATCCTGCCTGACCCCGAGCCCAGTGGCCCCAGAGGTAGGGCAGATTCTGTGTATGTCTTGAGGGAAAGAAGAGGGATTTGCTCTTGGGTTGGTGTGGATGTGGTGTGGGAGAAGGGGAAAGAGAGAGAGAGAAATCCAGGACCAGGCAAAGGGCTTGGAACGGAGCAGCTGGTTGAACACTGGGGCCTCTTCCTGAAGGCGGCCTGAGGCGCAGGTGGGGAGGTGGGGGAGAGTGAGGGCCCAGCAGCAGTTTGTTCCGGGCACTTGCTAGGAACTTGAGGGCACAGTGTCTTCCTAAATGTGGTAGCCGTAATCTCAGAAAGAAATACGTTCTCCAGGGGCGCCTGGGTGGCTCAGTCGGTTAAGCGTTTGCCTTCGGCTCAGGTCATAATCCCAGATCCCTCGGATGGAGCGCCACAATGTGCTGGCTTCTCCCTCTGCCTCAGCTTGTTCTCTCGCAAAAATAAATAAATAAAATCTTAAAAAGAACATTTTTTCCATAACAATCAGTATACATATAAGTAAACAGAATTTCTTGCAGCAATGTTTACCCTTCCTTTATGTGATGTACTCTGACAAATCAATTTTTTATTGTATTTCATTTTTTTATTTATTTGACAGACAGAGATCACAGGTGGGCAGAGAGGCAGGCAGAGAGAGAGGAAGGGAAGCAGGCTCCCTGCTGAGCAGAGCGCCTGACTTGGGCTCGATCCCAGGACCCTGAGATCATGACCTAAGCTGAAGGCAGAGGCTTAACCCACTGAGCCACCCAGGCGCCCCTATTGTCTTTCATTTAAAAAAAAAAAAAAGATTTTATTTATTTGAGAGAGAGAGAATGAGAGAGACAGAGAGAGAGAGAGAAAGCACAGGGCGGGCAGGGAGGGGCAGGCGGAGGGAGAAGCAGACTCTTTGCTGAGCAGGGAGCCGATGGGGGACTTGATCGGGACTCCAGGATCATGACCTGAGCTGAGGGCAGTCACTTAACCAACTGAGCCACCCAGCCGCTGGAAATACATAAAAAATGTATTTCCGCTTTTTAAAAATCCTGAGGACCCCTGCAGGCATGATCATGTCCTCAGAGAAGATGTCAAGGGCAGCGCTGCTGAGCCAGTGGCGGGCAAGTGGCAGGGACAGGCCCTGCTGGGCAGCAACGCTGTGCAAGCGTAGGGCAGGGGTGAGTAGGCTGCGGGGTTGCAGGGGGTAGGCCCCTCTTACCCATCCCCCTGCAGAGGAGGGCCTGGATCTGCGGCAGGGTGGAAATGACATGTGGGTCCTGCTGCCTCCCATCCGGGATCTGCACTGTGACTGCCTGTGAGTGAGTGCCCACCTCCCCCCCCCCATCCCCGCCAGCCAGCTCCAGGGTGGGGGTCCGTGGCTGCTGCGGTTGATAGTGGAGGAGCCTGGCTCTTTCTCTTTCCCCTCCATCATCTTCAGCATTTGGCTTTTATCCTCCAGGATGACAGCCTCCGCTGCATGTACTGTAACCTCACAGAGGCAGGAAGAAGTGGGGAGGGCAAGGCCACCCGGCAGAGCTCCCTTGCCCAGACCTGACCACATGGCCACTTTTCCTGCGCAGGAGTATGGGAGCGCAAGCATCCAGCAAAGGAGAACAGGTGAGCCGTGGCGGCGGTCTCACCTCCTATGGCTGGCGCATTGCTGCCCCGACCAGAAAGATAGGGGTTCCGTTAGCCAGGAAGGGGGACTGGCCGGCAAGTAACAGATCTACTGTGTTAGGACCCGGGCAACAGCAGCATTCTTTACTAATGCCTCAGTCCAGCATCACTCTTTCATTACTGACTTTGGCTGACCACCGGAGGGGGCTTCAGGAGCACTCTGTGAGCCCGTTAGATGGATAGTGGGGAGACAGGCAGACCTGAGGAAGAGTAGGAAAGGATCGGAGGATGCTTGGCAGTGGGAGAGGGAGAGCGAGAGGGAGACGCTCCACTGAGCAGGGAGCCCCACTCGGATTCGAACTCAGGACCCTGGGATCATGACCTGAGCCCAAGGCAGACACTTAATGGACTCAGCCACCCAGATGCCCCTTATGTTTGTTTAGAAGTAAACACACATACATACATGCAGTCATTGACTGGTAGGGCTTCCCGGGAGACAGACTCCGAGCTGGGATCTGCAGCCAGAGAGGATGGTTAGCGGGGAGTGCTCTGGGACACGTGTGTGAGGAAGAGAGGGGGCAGGGCAGGTGCTGGGAGAAGCTGATACGGTTGCAACAAGGGTCTCAGTCCATCTGATGGGGAACCTGGAACTGGAATGGCCCTTCTGGGTTGTTCCTCGCTGAGGCATGGAGCCAGGCTTTTGTCCCTCTTACTGCCCAGACGCAGAACGTGGGCTGCCCCTCGGAAAGAAGCATGAGCTTGAGCAAGATGGTTCTCTACTGCTGACGGTCTTGCCCAGACAGAGGCTCGGCTGGAAGCCATGTGCCATGAGCCACTAGCAGCCGTAGAAAGAATGCCTCCACCCTGAAGAGGAGATCTGGGCTGTATATTAGAGGGTCTGCTCCACTTTTCTACCTAATATCAACAGGTGCGGACAATTCCACAATAAACTTTTTTTAAAAAAAGATTTTATTTATTTATTTGTCAGAGAGAGAGAGCACAAGCAGGGGTAACAGCAGGCCGAGGGAGAGGCAGGCTCCCTGCCGAGCAAGGAGTCTGATGTGGGACTCCATCCCAGGACCCTGGAATCACGACCTGAGCTGAAGGCAGACACTTAACTGACTGAGCCACCTAGGTTCCCCTCCACAATAAAAAATTTTAAAGGGCTTTTTTTTTTTTTTAAATGTAATCTCTACACCCAGCATGGGGCTTGAACTTAAAACCCCAAGATCAAGAATCACATGCTCTACTGACTGAGCCAGACAGGCTCTGCTCCACAATAAAAAAAAAAAAAAAAAAAAAAAAATTTAAAGAATAAGCTTTTTAAAAAAATTTTATTTTTATTTATTTATTTGACAAAGAGAGAGAGATCACAAGTAGGAGGAGAGGCAGGCAGAGAGAGAGAGACAGGGGAGGAAGCAGGCTCCCCACTGAGCAGAGAGCCCAATGCGGGGCTCGATTCCAGGACCCTGGGATCGTAACCTGAGCCAAAGGCAGATGCTTAACCCACTGAGCCACCCAGGCGCCCCTCCACAATAAAAATTTAAAAGAAAATCTATTAATGTAGTCATAACTAAATAAAAATCTTTAAAAAAAGAAAATCTATTAATGTAATATGCCATATTAATAAATTACAGGAGGAGAAACATTGGATGAAATTCAACTTTCATTTAAAATAAAACTTTTGTGACCCAACTAGAGAGAAAGAATCATCAACCTGATATAAGGACACTGCCTGTAACAAATACCAAAGTTAATTAGAAAAATTCCCTGCAAAGATCCAAGAGGAAATTTTAGCAAGTCAGCTAGATGTAAGACCAACCTGCAAAAAAAAAAAAAAAAAGCACTCTGATAATAAAGGCAACGACCAATTAGAAAGTATAATTTGTAAGAAAAGAGTCCATTCTCTTATACACAAAAAAGTAAGATGCATCAAATGCCAGGAAAATATGTCTGAGCTCATTTTGGAATCAATGATGAGACCTAATTAAAGGATGACGAGGTGACCTAAACAAGGAGACAGATACTAAGTCATACAGTAGTTAAGGTGAATGATTTAGACCAGACACAAAAAGACAGCTATTGCCAGATTCTACTTATATGAGGAGCCCAGAATAGGCAAATTTATATAGAGAGAAGGTAGAGAGGCTGTTGGGGAAGAGGTAGGGGAAGCTATTGTTTAATGGGTACATTAATTAATTACTTACTTAAATGTAAATGTTTGGGATGATGAAAAAGTGCTGGAAAGGATAGCGGTACTTCTCCAACATTGTGAATGTACTTAACGCCACCGAATTGTACACTCAAAAATGGTTAAAGGGCGACTCAGTTGTAGAGCGTATGACTCTTGATCTCAGGGTTGTTAAGTTTGAGCCCATGTTGGGTGTACAGATTACTAAGAAAAAAAAAAGTTAAAATGGAAATTTTATGTTCTGTTTATTTTGCCACAATAAAATAAAAAGTTTCAGAGGAATGACTTCTGAAGGAACTGTGCAAAAAGAAAAAAAATCAAATATACTTAAACCAATAGGGATATGTGTACAAAATGTAATGCTGAGTGAAAAAAAAAAAAGTAAGTTGCAAAAGGTCCAGGAATTATGGCACTCTCTATGAAAATTAGGCTGTGAAGATTTGTGAAGTTTTGGCTGGCTATTATAGATACTCAAAATCATGGTAATTTAAGTGAGATACAAGTTTATTTCTCTCTTGGGTAAAATTCTGTTGTGGGCTATTCAGTTGGGCATAGTGGCTCCACCATTATCTAAGGTCTAGGCTGCTCCTCCTGGCTTCTCATTCTACCAACCTTAGGATGTGGCTCTCGTCCTCATGGCCCACGATGTAGCTCCAGCTGTCACATCTACCTTCCCAGAAGCAGGAATGTTGAAGAGGAGATGGAAAGGGCATGCTTCCCCCACCTTAAAGTCACATGTCAGAAGTTGCACACATCACTTTCCCTTACATTGCATTAGCTGGAACTTTGTCACACAGCCACACTTGGCTACAAGGGAAGTTGGGAAATGTGGTTTTTATACCAGGAAAACTTGTAACTAGAGAAATGGAGGGAAGGGACACTGGAGGACATTGAGTAGTTAATCCCACACTGTCCACGAGAGAGACTGCTAAATTCATCAGGTCTCTCAAAATCCATTTTCCCTTTTAGAAATAAAAACCCTCGAGTCTGAGTTGGCCACTCAGCCACAGACTACATTTTCCAGCCTCCTCTGCATCTAGATGTGACCACGTGATTAAGTTCAGGCCAATGGGATGTAAAGAGACATACCGTGTGCAATTTCTAGTTCACCTCCTTAAAAGAAAAGCCAATCTCCTATACTTCCCCTCTTCTACCTCCCCAATGGATGGAAAGTAGCAGTTCCAAGATTTATTTATCTTTTTTTAGAGAGAGAGAGGGAGGGATTGGGGAGGGCAAAAGGAGAGGAAGAGAGAGACTCTCGGGTAGACGCCCCGCTGAGTGTGAAGCCCCATGCAGGGCTCGATCTCACCACCCTGAGATCATGACCTGAGTCGAAAACTAGAATCCTCTGCTTAACTGACTGAGCCACCCAGGTGCCCCTAGGAAACAGGGCATATGCTCAAGGTGGTAGAACGGACAGATCAAGGATCAGAGCCATCTCCTTTTCCTGGACTGCCCACCAGCCTATAAAATATTAGATGGGGGATGAGCTTCCATGTCACTCGGGGTGCTGTGTTTAGAGGCTGTTACAGCAGGCTGGTCTGCATCTGACTTAATCTAGAAATTGATACCAGAAGTGGGGTGCTGTTGTGAAAAATAAAAGTCTAAGAGGTGCTGCCGGTGGCAGAGACCAGCTACGGCGGGATGAGAAGCCGGTGACTTTTATTACATCAGGAGGAAAAAAAAAAACAACTGTAGAGCTCTCTTGTTTGATAATGAGGTTAGCAGGTGACTGTTCACCTGAGCCTATATAGCTCAGTGTTAGTGTGGAGTCTGCCCCTTTCTTGCTTTTTTGCAGAACGCCCTGTACTCCTGCCATTCAGATCTGTTCTCTAAAGCTTTGGTACAATGTCTCCAGGAGACAGCGGAAGGCTATCCTGCTGCAAACTTCATATGGAAGATGCTGGCCTCACACCCAGATTACTGATACCGATGGCTTCGAGGTCGCAGCCTTTCAGTGGGGGAGAGAGGGTTGGACTGTGGAGTCAGAGAGATAAAAAAGGAGGTTCCGTGTATTTTAGAAGGATAACTCAAAGAGGTTCGGTGGCTTGGCTACAAAGAACTGAATGGGGAACTCTGAAGAAAAGACCATAGCAGGTCTGGGGCTTCAGTCTTTATTTTATTTGTTTAATTTTAACGATTTAATAAATATTTTTTATTTCTTTGAGAGAGCGACTGAGAGAGCAAGAGAGTGCAAGCATAAGCAGGGGGAGGGGCAGAGGCAGAGGGAGAGGGAGGGGAAAGGATCTCAAGCAGACTCCGTGTTGAGCGTGGAGTCTGATGTGGGGCTCGATCTCACAACACTGAGATCGTGACCCTGAGATCATGATGCAAGCTGAAACCAAGAGTCAAACGCCTAACTCACTGAGCCACCCATGTACCCCAAGGCTTCTGTCTTTAGAAGGGTCTCTTGCAAGGTTGACCCTTGACTGGCATCTAGGAATTTGGCTTCTGGAGGTGTCCCCACTGTTCCCTAACAATGTGTCTTGTGCTGAATGTAGCATGTACCTAATTCCTAGCATGAAACAAAATTCCAGAAGGAAAGTAACATAAACCAGTGGGCATCCCTCTGGTGTTTTCAGCTGGGGAGGCCAGCAACGCTTCCAATTCTGGGAGCAGTTCTGAAAAATGCAGACCACCTATGTCTCTCCCCCAACTCTGGTACCTCCTCAGGGGCCAAGCTTGTGTTTTTCCTTTTTTGTTATAACATCAGTGTGGCTCATTCGGTTATCATCACTTTACATTTTTCCCCCCAAACTTTTTTTTTAATGGAGGTAAAATTCACGTAATACTCTGTACTCTATGTTAGCCATTTAAAAATGTTCAATTCTAGGGCGCCTGGGTGGCTCCGTGGGTTAAAGCCCCTGCCTTCGGCTCAGGTCATGATCTCAGGGTCCTGGGATCGAGCCCCGCATCAGGCTCTCTGCTTGGCGGGGAGCCTGCTTTCCCCTCTCTCTCTGCCTGCCTTTCTGCCTACTTGTGATCTCTCTGTCAAATAAATAAAATAAAAAATCTTTAGAAATCTTCAATTCAGTGGCACCTGGGTGGCTCAGTGGGTTATGCGACTGCCTTTGGCTCAGGTGGTGATACTGGGTCCTAGGATGGAGTCCTGTACCAGGCTCCCTGGTCAGCCAGGAGTCTGCTTGTCCCTCTCCCTCTGCCCTGCTCCTGCTCTCTCCCTCTCTCTCTCTTTCAAATAGATAAAATCTTTAAAAATGTACAGTTCAGTGGCTTTGGGTACACTCACAGCATTTTACAAGCATCTTCACCATATTGTTCCAGAACATTTCATTCCTCCATAAAGAAACTACCAATAAGCACTCTCCCTGCCACCGCCCCCCCATCCCCTGGCAACCACTAGTCTATTTTCTCTCCCTATGGATTTTACTATTCCGGGCATTTTATGGAAATGGAATCATATCATATGTTGCTTTCCTTCATTGAGCGTAAGGTTTTCAAGGTGGGTTCATGTTATAGAGTGGCTCTGTATCTCATTCCTCCCCACCTCCAATCCTTTTTCTGGCTGAATAATATTCCATTTTATGGATCTATTTAATTTGGTTTATCTGTTCATCATTTGATACACATTTGGGTTGTTTCTACTTCTTAGCTATTATAAATAAGGCTGCTCTGAACATTCACGTGCAAGTTTTTGGGTAAACACATTTTCAAGGCTCCTAGGTATACGTATAAGAATGAAATCGCCAGGTCATACGGTAATTCTATGTTTAACTTTTGGAAGAACTCTTTCCAAAGCACCTGCACCATTT